GCCGGTTAGCCATCCCGCTTTCTCTCCTGCCTGCCTGCAGTTTCTTCTGTGGCGGCGCAGAAAGCCTAGTCTGGGCTAGTGGCGGTGGTGGGGGTGGTAGTGGTGTCGTTTAGTGCATGATAGAGAGAGAGCGTGGAGCAAATGATACGAATTTATAAGCAGCACTAACAATACTTGCGCGTCCGCACTTTGACGAAAACTACCTCCAAAGTGGTCACTGCACCTTCTTTAACTGCCTCTAGTACTTCTTCCTCACTTCATTTGGCTACACCTGTACAGGGTTTCATTTTTCGGCATCTCGTTTAGGTCTTTCTCCATGAACGAGATAAGTACAGTACATGAACAGGAACAAGCCATCAAATCGATGCAGTTATGAAACCGAACATATTGAACCCAACTCCATACCTTTTAATGTTGATCTACTATCTACTTCCAGTCATTCAGAAGGTCGATTCAGGCAGCAATACCTCACAAGTGTACATATTTCTTCGAGAGGAGGAAACTGCAGTTGGAAATGTAATATTGAGTTCCTCGAGGACTATGTACATAGCAAAGGTTTATGCGAAGCGTGGAATTTACTCAGTCCTAATAGAAGAACCTATCGAGCCTTCACCAGAGTTCTTTTACCCCGAGAATATGTACAGCATGCCAAAAAGTATCAAGTATTTCAGCCTTAACGAGCACACCGGATTAATGAAGGTCAATGAGCGGTTGGATTTTGACAATCCTGAGATGGAAGCGGCTGGATGTGTTAGAAATGAGGCCAAAGAGACTCTCAAATTACTTCAACAGAATTCTCTGCCTGCATTTAAGACAGCCGAGTATTGCTGTTTTCCAGTGGAAATTATTAGCGGTGGAGAAGAACGCTTGGCACTGCATGTCTGCATTGAAGACATTAACGATAACGCACCCGAATGGAGTTTACAAAGTGCTACCGTCATGGATTTAAATAAAGTAAGATAATATTGGAACAAAAATATATTTCAATAGCTTTTATATTTATAAATTTATTGCATAAATATATGCACAAACAATTATTATATCTGGATTTTTAAAAAAACTCCTCTGATGTGATGTAGGCAGTAAATTTCCATTATTTGCAGAGGTATTCTTATCTTTATAGATATTTCACCGATAATAATTAAGATCATTCTATTAATTATTGAACATATTGAAACAATTACCGTTAAATTTAACAGAAAAAACAAAATTTAATGAAAATAATGGAAAAGAAGAATATGAACCATTTTGTACAAAATAGAACAAATATTTCATTCACATTACATTCTGTCAATAAAGATTCGTTATAATAAAACCTTTTCAAAACGAATATGTGATAAAGCATTTGGATGCTTTGTAGATTAAACTTGTTGACTACAAAATATGTTTGCTTCTCTGGCATATTTTCTTTTGACAAATGTCAGTAGCTCGCAGTTAATTAATCTCTTTTGGAATGCTAATGATCATTTTGTGCCGAGAATTCAATCTAGAACGTATTCCAGATATAGCAGTATGCAATATGGACAAATTATAGTTCTTCCTGACCGTATTTCAATCACTTCTTTTAGAATAGCTCTTTGATGGCACTCTCAATTCCTGAAAACTTGCCTCTAGATAGCGCGATTGACATTCCTTCAGCTACTGACAGAGATTCCGGTGTGAATAGTGCCCTTACATATGAGATATGGCCAGATACTCCGGAGTTCGACGTTGTTTGGAATGCATCCACGTCGAAACTATGCCTCTACATTAGGAAGGAGCTTGATCGGGAAACTGAATCTAGCTACAATTTTACCATTATTGCCCATGATGGAGGTCTAGAATCAAAGTCTGGATCTGTCAGTCTTGCAATCAGCGTTGAGGATGTAAATGATAATGATCCAGTTTTTGAGGAGTCAACATACATTGTAACCATTCCAGAGGATACCAATATCTTGACTCCAATAATTCAGGTAATTCAAAATTGACTGTATCTTTTAGCGTTAATTTTGAACATTAGCACGAACTTCTCTCCCATAACATCAAACATGACATTTTACATGAAAGTTTGCACTTTTTGATAATTATCACACGTCGTCACAGTCAACTTGCTTCAAAGACATTTCAAAGCCGAATGCGTCTTTAAACTCTTTTTAAAAAATTCATCTCTCCACATGCATTTGGACTGTTGATAAATCTAATTGTAATCTTATTGAGTTAAAGGAAATCAAATTGCCCGGTTTCAATAAAATTTCAGAAGAATTTTTTTATTAGATGAAAATTTTTTGCTTTTATTCCCTCTCTTTTCAATTTCATCTTCAACTCTTGTTTCGTCTACAGTACAAACAGTTTATGAATTTAACTTTTTTTATTCAGCTTTCTAAATGCAATTCATTTGTAATACAAATAGCGGAATTCGCAACGCGAATAAGTTACATTACTAGCTAAATTCGGTTAAGAATAAGTAGAAAATGGTTGGTGAAAATTTTCAACAAACTCCCTTGTTAGGTTCTATTCAAGAACACGTGCGTGTGTGTGTTGGTTAGTTTCTTCACAGAAATTGTGCGATCGCAGTAACAAAGCAACGTTATAGTTAATTTCGGATATTTGCGTAAAACAATAACAATGACTAAGCAAATAAAAGTCGACTTCATGTCATTGACGATTGGATATCATTTGAAATCTGGGTCTGCGACAATTTTTTTTCCAGGTTGTCAACATGAAAAGAGCAGGTCATACTTGACTGATGACGTAAATGGAATCGAGTTGGAAATTGTCTGTTGGCGGGGATGCACTTTTTGGTTACGAGTCATTTTTATGACGCCTTTTCAATTACAACCTAAAGCGAATTAAAACAAAGTAAAATGAATCACCCCCTGCTTAGATGAAAAATAAATAGAACTGTAAATAAGCGAAATAAAAGTATCACAGTGTTAAGCTCTCAATTTTTGACGATAGGAAAGAAAACAAACAATAATAATGAAAATAATATAATTAATAGAACAGTGCATTAAAGTTAAAAAACATTACATGAATTTTAAAATTAAAGCCATTAAGCGTGAGTCAAAGGAAGTGACATATCTGGCAATTAAGCATAAGTAAATTGATTAAAAATGGGAAAAATCTCTCATTGGTTGAAGAAAAATATTTAGTTAAATCAACTGACATCTGTTTAGTTTTGTGCAAACTATGCCGTGTTTTTCCGCAGCCAATTATTATCAAGCAGGCAGGAGAAGTAAAAAAAGCGATTTTGAAAGTGAATTTCATAATTCCATAAATTCACGTGGAACAGCTGTTGCGCTAAACAATTCAGTGGGAATCCATGCTTTCGGCCGCACCAGAAGCCAATCATTCTCATAAAATACGGCCAACTTTAGGTTATGATAAGATTTAAATAGATTTTGGGGAGTTTTCGTTGTTAAAATTTTATAAATTTGACTAAATTTTTCGATATTTCGTCTAATTGAACAGATACATTTAAAGTAAAGGACTTCCCTATAGGGGACGAACTATATTGGAGTAATTTTCATTTGGTTACTTTCAGAACCTTTTACCTTCATTTTGGTAGAGTTGATTTGGAAGCTCAATTGTTTCCAATATAGGCAAGAACTCTGGCTATTAAGATTTTTTCCTTCCATTATTTTGGAGCAAAAGAATGAAAAGGGTCTGAAACTATACCTATTATTCAAATTAAATAGAACTTGGATAAGTGGGCAGCACTGTGATGAATAACTTGAATTCTGGTTCATTAAGAAGAGATACGATAATGAAGGTATTGAAAACCACGGGCAAGCCTTTGACAGGTCTCAAAGTCACCTGAAGCTATTTTGAATCGTGAAATCCAATAATCGAAACACCTCCACAGAATGAACTGACTGTCAAAGCGATCAAACAAAGGTTTCATTAAAAAAATAATAATTGAAGCAATGCTTCATCTGCAAATTACCGTTAACGAAAGATTTTAGGCAAACGGATATGGATTCTCTTGAATAACCCATAACACACCATAATTTCAAGAAATACTTAAAAATAAATGCTCATTTAAAAAAGTGAGATATTCTCTTATACTTTCATCTAAATATTTTTCTGTTTCAACTGAAATTGGAAACGAAAATTAACGTCTTCGTTCATTTTCCTCTTCATTTTCCTTTATGACTTAGCACGAAAACTTATAATAATATCAAGTGGAATTTTTATTTACTATATCTACGTGTTTGGAAGAATAGAGTAGGATAATATTTTAAAAGGTGAGATTTTGAAAAAGCTTCTGTACTGTCTAGCCAAATTTTAAAACTTTATTATTGTAAGCATATGGTCGATTCAAAGTGTTTTAGAAAACGTAACTGTTAATATTTCACAAACTATTACCAGCATGTACTATCAGTGTAACTCAATCGATCAGCATAAATAAACGTTTGAATTTCATATCCTATGTAAATGGATTTATTTCTAAATCGATTTTTTTGCCAATAAAAAGGCCTTAAGATAAAATATGAGGAGTCTACTAATTGACATTTCACGTTCAAAACTTAAATTGGATTTTCAAGCAAATTTCTGCACCTGATAATTTGCATTTCTCAATGGTCTGTCATCTATTTCAATTTGTTTGCTCTAAATGCTTAGACATTAGAGTGATCTTTACTGATGCCAAGTAAACTGCGTATGCATTGTATGTTTAGAATCGAACATAAATGTTTAATAATAATTAATCCTTCAAAGCATTATTATATTACAGGTAAATGCAACCGATTCCGATCTTGGCATCAATGCAGATATCTCCTATTCCATCAGCACATTGACTGATCCAGAATTCAGCCAAATGTTCTCAATTGATGATAAAACGGGTTGGATATCTTTGGAGAAAGAGTTAGACTTTGAGAATTATAAGCAGGTAACTGATCCTAATTGTCTTTCATCTAAAGTGGCCTTCACAACTATTTATTAGAATTAAACCTTGCAACACTTACTGTAAGTTGAAAAGAGATGCCAGTTTGAACTGAATGACTAAGTCCTTAAATCGAAATGACTATCCAATCAATACAGTGGTTTTATAAACTTAATTGACAAAGCAATAAGACACTAAATTTTCATAGATGAGCTAATATATAATCTGTCTACCAATGGATTGACATCTGTGGAAATAACTTTCCCTACAGCGAATCATGCATAGGTCATCAGGTTAAGAACTGGTGGAAGGGGGGGGGTGTAGAATTGTTGAAATGACTCAGAGGACAAATATTATAAAGTTAATTCAAACGCCCAGTTTATGAAGATTATAATTACCAATAATAACGGCATGGAGCCATTTGTTTTATTCTCTTAGAATACCGCCGAAATATTCATCTCGTAATTCTTTCCTCATTTTTAACATCGTTTCTTCTTCTTCCAGAAATTACATTGCAAATGCCAGAGACCTTTTTCCAATTTTCAAATCTTACAGGAAATGTACCATCAGAAGTTTTCATTTTCGGAAAGGTCAAATTGAAGTCATAAAGAAATGTGGCACTTGATAAAACTTTCACTATTTTAAGCTCTTCATAGAAATTTAATTATTGCATAACGAAACGTTGAATATAATTCCACTCTGTGAAGTTTCAAATATATACATCATATGCTAAGATATAATCGATCTGGAATGAGGATTCGCTTGCGTACAGAGAAGTCGTAGTGTGTATCTTCTGAACGATGGAACTTGAGAAAACGTTTCTCCGTTTTGGGCAAATCAGTTTCTTGAGCCTTTTCCATGATTTTTCGTCTTTTGCGACTCTTCATTCAGTGCAAGCTTCTTGGATGAGGATGTGAAATCCAATAAATTGTAATGATAAGGCCTCAATTCCGTTTGCCACTTAGCTCCAACACTTGTTCCTGCTACAGATTTTCGGGGAAATTTCCTGCGGAAGATTAATTAGCCTAGATCGTCTTTTTTGTAGGTTTCTTCATCCTTTTCATGCAAAATTCTCTTCACCAAACGTGGTTGCCATAATCCCCTTTTTATGGCCAGTACTCACCGTTTTCGTACAGGTTATTCTCTTCCATGTTTCTGGTGGATTTTAATCATCAACTATTTTTTTGTCAAGGCACCTTCCACACATCTGGATCAAGTCTCCTATATTTTCATTTCCATTATCTAAATAAATATGATCTTGGTCCTTTCTTATAAATTTTCATTTAATTTTAAATAGGTAATAAATCTTGACTTCTAATACCCATTTAGGGTAATTTATGTTAAAAATTGTGAACGGCACAAAATTAGTCTTTAAAGAAAAATATTCATGTTCTTGTGTCGTTAACAAAAACGATTCCAATGCGGTATTTGGAGGTAAATGGAAACTGGTATCTGACATCAGTTGTTAAATGATACGATCCATCTGTGCAGTGATAAAGTATATGCTTTATAAGATAAGTCTTAAAAATGGGTAAAAAATTTTATCAAGGTATAAAGAAAACGAAATATATTTAAAGGAATTACACGTGTCCTTAGATCTAAACTTTGCCCTGAAGGCTACATTCATTGATAAAATAAACGTAGAACCAACACTGGCTTGATTACATGTTTAACATAAAGACTTTTAGAATGTGATCGCAAATCTGGTATTCTTTCCTACAGATTAGTTTAACGATTGCGGCAACCGACTTAGGCGAAATTCCACGTCAATCGACGTGTCTAGTGGAAATCAATTTAACCGACGTGAATGACAACGCTCCAAAACTACTCTTTGAACCGGGCAGTCTCACAAACAATGCGTTGGTTCCAGAGAACGAAATTGCTGGTCGTATTGTAGCTGTTTTCACAGTTGTGGACGAGGATAGTGGCGCGAATGCGGATACAACTTGTTGGATCAAATCTGTGATCAAGGAGAAAGTGAATTTGAATTCAAAGATTGGAGCTGGATCCATGAACGAGAAGGAAAACTTCAAGATGGAAGCAGGCAAGGTTGAAGAGGAAATCGATACAATAGATATTGAAAACTATTTCAAATTGGAATTAATGGCTCTGCCATTTGCTAAAGTGTAAGCTTTTATTTTCTTAATGACTTTTGTGCGGCCGTTTGGGATAAAAACCTTTAAATGAAACTCAAATAGGTGACAAGTTAATATTTTTCCTTTATCTTGTGTTGTCTCCATTTTAATGAGCAAATGAACCAATGACTTGAGTGCAATTATTTGAACTCCAGAGTTGTTGAGTTTAATTGACAACTGTTGACCATCGTTCATATATTAATTAATTCATGCTTTACTTGAATAGGAACTGACAATTAGCTCCTTCACATTTGACAACTCATAATAAAATGCAAGGAAAAAAGTTGGGTTTTTTTCAAAATCTACTCACTTTCACGAATTTCTGTCTTTGTAGTTATTAAGTTTTTGGGAGGAACCATTTTCAACGCGCAGGGTTAGTGATAATGCTTACAGTTAGACCATAAGTTTCAAATCAGCACTTGCCGTTTGATAAATAAAAATTTCAAGAATTCGTTTCTTTCACACTAGGGATTAATCTCAATGATTTAGCCTTGAGCACAAAAGATCGTCAAGTGCTACTGGATGAGTCATGGATGTTGAGCTGTATCATTAGTTTTTTTTAAGGAGAAAGCAAGGCACCATTAATTATTTCTTTATTGTTAACGCCAAAGTTTTAACTTTTGATGATGATGCAATCGAACATATCAACCCTTTAGTCTGTTGAATTGATAGAGACGTTAACAGCCGACACTCACAGTTCACAAACCATTTACGTCTTTTTCTCCTCTACGTTAATACTACCAATTGATGATTTTGAAATTTTGAAAATCTAGTTTAAGTTTCTTCCACTTTAATAAAGCCATCCAAAGTTGCTTATTTCGGTAACTTTATCAACGGTTACAAATCCTAATCAATTAATCATTAGAAAATATGATTCTCTAATTTGTTTATTCGGAAAAATTTATTAGCAAACCAATCGCGTTTGCCGAAAATTTAGACTGATTGCCTATTTTCTCTAAAATATATTAGGAAATTTAATGATTTCACTGACACTTATATCTAAGGAACACTTAACAAAAAAATATTAGTATATGCTATTCGAAAACAAGTTATATTTGATTCTACGTCTACTGTTCCGGTTAAAATTCGTTGAATTTTGAAATCAGGGGGTAGTTTTCAAGAAATTGGGGCTTTATTTCATGATTTTAGGGCTCTATCAAGTTTAGTAAATTTTTTTGTCTTGTTCAATTTTTCCTCTCGACGCCATAGTCTCTACTTGTTGAGTACGACGCACGGCTTTTTGAATGAGAGAACTGATTAGAATCAGAACGAAACCACTCCTCTCTCCACGGCGCCGTAGCATATTAAGATTTTGAAACCGCAAGGTAAGATCTCCACTTATTCCCCACCCTTACCACATTGAATTACATGTCTAAAAGGATTTTATGGTTTCCTTCTGCTCAGTGCCTTATAGCAGAATCCTACGAACACCATTTTCAAACCTTAAAACCTTAGCTACGAATGTTTTCGTCTGAGTAGAGATCACTGTTTGTTATTAACACATTTGCGCCCAATCCGTTTGATCGCCTTAAATCGACTTATCCACTCTCATATTCAGCAAACGTTTATGGAAATTTAATATATAAATTTATCTTCCACCACAATTTTTGTATTTATAATGCCTTGCATTAAGTGTTTGTATTAATTGTGCAAAAGGAGTAGTTAGTTGTAATTACTTTAAATGAGGTGAGCAAATCGCGCCAGACTTCCTGTAATGACAAGGACGTCTTTGTCTCCTATTCGTTCATGCAGAAATTTAATTTTTTTCCTATTTCAAAATTTCATTTCATTTCACATACATTATTTTTTCGTAAAATCAGAACAATACCAGAACATAAGCCTCTTTTTCAAGTGTTAGTTATTCGACTGAGCACATTTAGTTTAGATTTCCTACCATCTCTAGTTCGTCACGAAATCGCATTTCATTTCCATCGAAAAGGTGGATTATTGACAACAATGTTAGTACATTGCTGTTAGCAACAGCTAATTTCAATTTAGCTACAGCTAATAGTTTAGTATAGTTTTAAACAAAAAATGTGTTGAAAATAACTTTTTTTAGTGCGACATTATTAGAATAAGCGCCTTCTTTTCACTTCCATTTTTAAGATCTAAGTACAGACAAGTAAGCGCTTAAATGTGTTTTATGTTCTACTAATTTCAAAATGGTTGAATAGTTTAAATGCCTCTTGCCTAATCGATACATTTTCTTGCCTATAAACCATATTCAACTACACTTGCTCAGACGCATTGCATCAAGTAAAACGAGGATAGAAGTTCGCATTTGTTGGTAATAAAATAAATATTGTGCAATAAATAACAGTTAATTTTTGATTGGATGAATATTTAAGATTATTTGTGTTGTTTAGTAAGAGAGCGTTGAAGTGGAGATTCAAGGGCTGGGATCGAACGTGGGAAGTAAAACATTTCGACACGCAGAAGACACAGAATTGTAATCCCTGAAAAGAAGTTATGGGCTCTTGTTGACCTAGTTGTCACTGACAAAACACTAATGACAAAATTTGAAAGATAATGCATTTGAGGAAGGTGTCATGGAATAGTCACCCTGAAGGTGAATGAATGAGTTCAGTCCAAGCATAATGCTCAATAATCGGTACCAGGAACAGTGTAATATTCTTGGTGATAAATTAAAAACAAATTTTACTTTTTCAACAAGATGTCTAAAATAGAACATTTCATTATAATATAGATAATATTATAACTGATTTCAAGGATTATTATAACTTATTTGCATCAAATTTGAGCTCATTTTAGCCATGGCAACAAAGAAGCATTGCTCAGCACTGTTTCAAGATCGAACTGTGCCTGAAACAATTTCATTTCAACAAAACTTAAGGTTTTTCGTTCCAATAAAACTTCATTTATGCAAAATGGACTTTGACCAAGTGCCATGATTTTAACAGATGGCTGGTTTCTGGGAAAAAATTTCGTTTTTGCTCAGGGTATTTGGATCACATAAGGTTTAAAATTGTGTTCAAATTGACAATAAGAGCTAAGGTATAAATGTTTGAAAATTTAAGAATATCTTCCCTATTAGTGATGCTTTCTCAGTGTGAATATATTCGCTGAGGCACATTTGTCACTTTGCGCCTTTTTAATGTTGACTAGTGACACCGAAACTTTTAATTTTTGCAAAATTAGTCCAAGGATTGTGAATTCTATGTGCTCGAAGTCAATTCGTGTATAATCAGTACGAAGATAGGCCACACCTCCTATTATCGTTCAGTGCGAAGAGCTTATTTCATCGTTCTTTGCATCTGAAGTTATCTGGCACTTTAAATTCTTCATCCTTAATGGACCCAGGATCAATCTCTTCCCGAAACTCTAAAACTCACTTTTTTTATTTAGAGAACTGGCGCAATTTCCCTAGATAGCTCCATCTAATTCATACGATTTCATACATTTCCTTGCTTGTAAAATTGTTTCTCCTTAACACCCTATGGAGCTATGCTATTAAGGCTTCCTTCATGGAATGGACAGGCTACTTTCAATCCTGTTCGACGCGTGGAGCGATGTCAATTCTGATTAAGATTACAAACCAACAGAAAACCAACTGTACAGCTAATTGAACATCCTACAAATGTCAAAATAGTAATTCCGCATTAATTTACAAGCAATTTAAGCAGCATTCAAAATACAAAAAACACCTCTTGTGTTTTAGTAGATTTTTCCATTGATTCAACTTACTTCCTCGTTCATTCACGTTGACTAATAGATCCAGACACTGTTTCTAGGAAAATATTTAAGGCATTCTCATGTTTTTCCATATTTCTGTGCTTTGAATAAGCTCTGGCATAGAGGCCGGGATATTGAGATTTTATTGGCAAATCATTGTGATCTAGTTGCTGTTTTAATTAATGACTTTGAACATCATACCTCAAAATGTTATGGCCTGCAGAAAAGCTGGCAAATTTTGAATTAAAATAGCAAGTGATATTGAGATTGAATTCAAAATTATAAAGTTTTTACTTTAATTTGTTATTAGAACTGCTTAATAAACAGTCAAAATTCATTCAAATTCTCGTACTTAATATCCTGTATTTATTGGTCGGCTTGCTATGACAGACGGTCTTATGATTGCACAAATTTTTGCATTCAAATCTAGAAAAGCAAGTTAGATGTTTAGATTATGGTAGTATTACCATTAAACCGCAGTTAGTTGATAATATAATCATCACAATTTTGTTTGAAATGTGACGATTTCTAATGTTAAGGAAATTAATTATGGCAGTCCGTAAACAGCACCAATTTCTCGAGGAAACGGGCGGAAAACATGCGTGCAAAGTCAATTATTCAAGGCATGCGTTGAAGACGAATTAATTCAAAATGACATTTGCATGCGGCCTATATTTCAAATCCGATGAATCACTGTCTCCCCCTCTTTAGTTACCAACTTTCAACCGTTGCAATATTTGATCGGGAGGTAGGAAGCAAGTACTGCGTTGGGATTACGTGCGCCGACACGGGTGCTCCAAGCCTGAATACCACGGGTTATGTGCTGGTTCGAATACAGGATGTAAATGATCAAGCACCCCAATTTCCCAATAGACACTTCACCTTCAGATTGCCGGAAAATCAACCGACTGGCAAGGTGCTCTTCAAGCTTACAGCGAACGATTTGGACGAAGGTAAAATTGATTGGGCTAGTTTTACGCAGTTTTTTAGTACTTATAAACCATTTATTGAAGATGACCCGCATAGCATTATATTCTGAAAACAACTGCTGCTAATTGCGGAAAATATGTAAAGGACTTAACATTTTTTGTACCAAATCACTACCCTATATAAATAGACCGCAAATTATTTGAAGAAAGCGTTCAAAGTGTTCCCACTTGGACAGAGGGAATATATCCTGGCACCGCGACTATGGAGAGTTGGAGTAAACCTCTCGTTTAGACTATCCATTTCACTTGACATGAAAGGTAATGAAGCATAGATCTTGGGAGCTTTCATTTGAGAGAATTGCATATTTATTTATTTATTTCAAATGGCAGGCGTTTTAATAGATATCATTAGCCATTTAGCTGACTTCGGGCTTCACAGAGGGAAGGTTAATCAAAGTAGCAGAAAGTCGAGGAGTGGGGAACAGAAGAGCGATTCACTTTGGGAGGAGGAACACCAAAGGGACAAAAGTCGAGAGGGGGCAGAATAATGATTCATAGATGTAAAAGAGACAGACAGACACAAAGGTAGAGGAAAGGTAAGATGAGTACTGTGAAGTGGTGTAATATGACATAGTGTCGGGTCATAGTAGTTTGAAGTGAGAAGTCAACTGCCGGTTAATAAACTTTTTTCCGTATGAGTATACGTTGCCCAGGGTGCACCACGTGAAGGTAAGTCTATCGCACACCCCGTTTATTCCGGAGTAACAACTAGTCTTAATTGAAAGTAGTTCAATTTTAGCAGCAGAATCTGGTAGTATAGGAAAGACGTCTGTGTGGTAGTCATTTATGATAAATTTCTAGGACTTTATACTAATACGGTTCAAGAAATCAATAAACAGCTGTAGTGTCATTTAACTGCCCAGGAGATTTGACAATAGTGAACTTATATCCCAGCTGCCATGGTAAGTGGCTATAAGGAAAGAAAATTATGCGGGACGAA